TGCCCATCAACAGTTTTGTACAGAGAAATACAAAAAAAGAAATATGAATTAACTACTATAATATCACAGCAGACAGAATTTATGCTAACATATTTATGACAGAGATATTGGGAGAATGGTGAAAGACCTGGTAAGATCTTGGCTAATTGTTTAAAGCAAATAAAAAATAAAAAAAAAATAGGGCAATGATTCCAATCATTAGAGGTGAAAGAGATAAAATGTATAAAACTTCAATGGATATTGTCAATTTTTAAAATTTTATTCAGAATTACACAGTAAACAAGATGTATCCAATGAATAAAGAGGCTTTTTAAAATAAAATTAACTTACCAGATGAGACACAAAAATAATTGTTATTCACTCCACTATCTGAGCTGGAGATTAAACAAATAATTTTAAAAATGGCAAGTGGTAAAACACCAAGATTAGATGGATTTCCTATTGAGTGGTACAAAATATTTATAGATCTTTTGGTGCCAAAACTTTGTCAAGCATATGAAGAGATATTTGATAAGGGAATTTTATCACTGGCATTTAATCAGGCTTATATTACAGTTATACCAAAAGCAGGTAAAGATCATACTCAGTGTGCTAATTATCCAATCTCATTGATGAATGTCGACACAAAGATTTTAACAGCAGTGTTAGCAAATAGATTACAGCAAGCAATATCATTTGTTATTAAGAATGATCAAGCAGGGTTTATACAAACTGGGCAAGCAGCAGACAACATTAGGTTAATTGTAGATTTAATAGACTTGAATAAAAACAAAGATCAATTTGTAGTTTTATCATTAGATGCTGAAAAAGCCTTTGACAAAATGCATAAACAATATACGTTTGCTGTACTAAATAGATTTGGATTTCCTTTGGAATTTATAAAATGGATTAAGATATAATATCAGTCACTCACATCTAAAGTAAAGGTTAATGGTATGTTTTCTCCTACTTTTCCACTATTTAGAGGAACTAGACAAGGATGCCCACTTTCACCCTAGCTTTTTAACATTTGCATGGTACCCTTAGCTTGTGCTATTAGACAACACAGGGAGATCTATGGAGTAGTACACAACTCAGTTAAACACAAATTGGTTTTATTTGCAGGTGACATCCTTTTGTTTATTTCTAAACCTCACACTACTATTCCAGTGTTGATGCAAAGGATAGATGCCTTGAATAAAATAGCATGATAATCTATTAACTGGTCCAAATTGGAATTGATGCCAATAGGTGAAAATTTGGTTACCCATTCAT